TCTGTTCCGAGAGCACGTCTGTAAGTCCAATTTGTTCGTTAGTCCAACAGAGTTAGCCTAGGTACCCCACTAACACAATCATCTATATAGTACTGTCACACAAATAATGTTAATACATAAAAAACAAACAAACACAAAAAAGAAAACATTTTTAATCTTACACTTCAGTACCTTGAAAAGTACAGTAGTACTAGCTATATCACTGCTGCTTTTTTTTTTTTTGCGATACGTGGGCCTCTCACTGTTGTGGCCTCTCCCGTTGCGGAGCACAGGCTCTGGACGCGCAGGCTCAGCGGCCATGGCTCACGGGCCCAGCCGCTCCGTGGCATGTGGGATCTTCCCGGACCGGGGCATGAACCCTTGTCCCCTGCAGCGGCAGGCGGACTCTCAACCACCGCGCCACCAGGGAAGCCCTATCACTGCTGCTTTTACACTTGCTTCCGGACATCCTGGGCTTGAAATAAAGATACTGTACCACTGTACTCTATACAGTACTTACAATAAAGTACACAAAAGCACAACCACTCGCAGAGGACGCGCGTACATGACAATGTACGCCAGACACGTGAACTAACTTACGTGATTGGATGTGTCGAACGCACGTTCGCATCTTTGAAAGCTTGCAACTTGAAGGTTCGTGTGTAAGGGATTTACTGTAATTGTTTTTGACAGTCCAATGACTTAATGTGGTCACTGTCCTATGGTGGGTTTTACTTGGTCCAGTGCAAGTGGCTCTAGTCCTTGGTGGTTGTCAATAAACCAGGCACGTTGGTTGCAGAACTGTGGGTCATACACAGAGAGTGATTAGTGTTGACTAGTGAAAACAGAGGTGGGGGCATCTTGGATTTATCCTCAAGTTGCACCGAGAAGGGTGGGTCCCGGGGCTGGCGGCCGGAAGGCGTGCCTCATTTGGCACTGGCTGGATTGACAAGAAGCCCAGACACACTTGAAAACACACTTCGCCCAGCCTGGGATTTGGCACACCTGCTGTGTGCTGAGTGGGTGGCCTGACTCATCCATGTGCACCTGCAGTGGTGCCTTTACCTGCTGGAGAGAATTTTTGCCCAGAAGAAAAGCCATTCAGTGAAGAGTTCTTGAATCTCCGATATAAGAAGCCTGGTTTACTGAAGTGGCTCCAGAAAGCTTTTGTAAATTATGAGAAAGACAACAATTATTGGTAATTCACTGATGCTTAAGTCTTGCCTGTTTTTAGATCAACTTAATGCTATACTTGTGCTTTTTAATGGGCTGGAAATTGGCTTTGGGACTCCATGTGTGAGCGGATACAGTCAAAAAATGCTCATGTTTGAGTACTTAGAATTTTACAGGTTTGTAGTTGTATTTTTGCTTATAGCTTTTTCACTTACGTTAATATATTTTTCATGCTGAATCCTAAGGAACAGATCTTTATTTATATAACCCTAATTCCATTGAAAATGTGCTGCCAGTGGATCATCGGTTATATAACATAATTTCCATTCTGTAAGGTTTTTTGTTGTTAATGTTAAAAATATATTGCACAGGTAAGAGTTCCAAAAGTCTTCCATAATCTTTGAGATTGACTTTATAGGAAGTATATTTACAGAAAATCCTGATTTTGGAAACAAATTTTAATCTACTTAAGCATTTTGCTTTAGATATTTTGAAGGCAAACACATGCATTTTTTTCAAACACATTAACAGAATTTGCTTGACTATTTACTTCTTAGGCTGAATGACTTTTGTTCTAGCTCAGGATCTCTGACCTAATTGAAAGATTAAAAGTCGTTCATAAAGTGTTAAGACCTTTGGTAAGAAATTTAAAATCATGGCTTGAATTTTATGCCCACGTTGAAGATGTTACTCAGAGATGAAACCGGAGTTTAGTTCTTTTGATAGGTCCTGGGTCAGCCTAAACCAGGCTTCCTTTTAGGGTTTTTGTTTATGGTGTCATGGGCTACAGCTTTAAAATAGGCAGGTGGAGGGAATTCCCTGGCGGTCCAGTGGTTAGGACGCCGTGCTTCCACTGACGGGGGCACGGTTGGATCCCTGGTCAGGGAACTAAGATCCCGCATGCTGTAAGGCACGGCAAAATGCAGAAAATAATAAAATAAAATAGGCAGGTGGATTCAGGGTGTTGGTTCCAGTCCTCTTGGGGCCACATGGCTTGAATATACATGGTATCTATTTAAAACAGAAACGGTTTCTGAATTTTTCTCAGGCAACCTGTTATAAGGCAAACTCTATGGCTGTTAGTTCCTCAAGTTCTCTTTCCCTGCTCTGGCCCCTTCTCCTTGCCCATCTTAATTCTCATCTCATAATTGCTTTGGCGGGGGTTGTTTCTGTATTTTTCTCTGTGTTTTTCTTTTTATTGGCGGTGTCTTTGTTCCAAGGAAGAACCAGATTTTCTATTTCTAGCATTCTGTTCAGAAACTCCATGCCCTGCCCCTAGATTGCCTGTCGCCCGAGAGATGGCAGAGCAAAGCAGGCAGCAGAACCATTTGTTCCAGGTCTGTCTTTGGGGGATGATGAAAACTGTGAGTCTTTGGCAGAGTTAGAGCTCAGGATGGCTTGACATTTTCCCAGTGGGTTAGCATAACCCAGGGACCTCGCTTGAGTTCTGGTAACGACAGCTTAACCATCAAATTTTCCTTAGGGTATGGCTCTTGAGAGGAAAAATCCTTTTCAAATTGAGAGCTTTTTATAGATTTCATTACTAGTTGAATCTGTATTCTTATAGGAAATACCTAATCAGATATTGACGGTGTTAGGCCATCTGTCTGTATATGAGTATTTTCCTCTAAGCCAATGAGAACCTTACCTTTGCTCAGATTGATATTCTGCGACAACTGCTGCTTGGGGGGCAAGAGATTTTTCAACATTAGATTGCATCCTTTATTGTTTTAATTTACTTCAAGGCAGAAGCATAACGCTAAAAAAAGGCGGAAGGGGGCTCTTTCAAATAAAAAAGACAGCAATTGAAAACATATTAGAGGAAAACACAGCTAATATTTTTTAAAAGCTATGCAAATGGTTTAAAGGTTTTAAGACTACAGTTCATTTTTCTAAAACCAGTAGGTATCACTTAAGCTTAGTGTTCATAAACTATTTTAGGGCAAGGATAATGTCTTAACCATAGATTGTACTGCCTCTAACATAATACATTCAGGTAGAAGACATGCCACACAGGTAAAGTTTATAGAATACAGGTGTTAGTTGAAGATGTACATGTTTTGCTATTTTTTCCTCGTAAGTGATGCTTTTCCCACTCAGGTCTTTGTGTCCAAAATGCTGGAAACTCTTCTCATTCTCTGTGCGTTCCTCTTAGTTCTTTTAATTACTGCTTGGTCTTGCAGAAACTGAGTTTTAAAGGGTTAGCTAAAAATAGACTCACCGCTGTAAGCACCTCTTCACATCTGCTTTCTTTCTCGGTCCCTGCAAGGTTGACCAGTTTTTTTTGGAGTTGTGCATCAAAAACAGTTGGAGGGAAAACAGCATCTGTTTAGTCAACATTTCCAGTGCTGGAAGAAGATGTCAGATTTTTAACTTTTTTTGTTTTCTTTTTAAACACCAAGTATGGTGCTTTCAGAGCAATGGAAATTGTTTCAAATGTGGAGATGGTTGGGTGTAGCCTTTTGAGGTCCGTCAGGCCCACTGAGCTCTCTGTTGTCCATCTCACCCTGTGCAGGGTTTACAAAGAAACATAGCATCCACTGGGTGAGCGTATATGGCTCACTGTTTTCTACATTTAGTCATTTGACCTTCCGAATGCCAAGGGCGCACTAGGCACTTGTGGATGGAGGAGTGTGAAGCCAGCCCCTCTGAGGTTTGCTCAGGATCTGGTGGGAGAACTCTGGTTTAGCGTTCAGAGCAGGGCTTGGGCGCCAAGCTCTGCCGCCTTCCAGATGAATTACCTTGATCCAGTAACCTGTTTCGTCACATACGAAATGGGGGTGATCATGCCTGCCTAACGCATGTGATGAGCCTGGTACGCACTGCCTGCCTGAGGAAATGGCTTTGAAGGTAGAATTAGGGAGTGGTGTCATCTTAGACCCCGCAATCCAACTAGGTGTGCTTCATTGTTTTTAGTAGTTTTTGCTTAATCTGTCCATGGTTCTGAAAATACCAGGCCCTGTGGCTCTCATTCCCTTCACCCCCTACCATGAATCAACAGCCTCTCCCAGCTGAGAACATTAGAAATAATGCACAGTGCTTCATGAGAACCCCAGTCGTGGTGTGTCCACTGAATTTCTTTTATTCTCTTTTGGTTTTGAAGGTTGGAGTACATTTTTTTTAAATTTCTTTTGCAGCAACACCATAACCTTATCTTTTAATTTCATAAATAAGAGGCCTTGCCTTTTGGTTTTTTAGGAAAGATGTAGGAGGTGTGATGTTTGGTCTCATTACAGAAAGTTAATTATTTGTACTTATTTTTGCCAAGCATGCTTACTTAGTACATTGGGAAACAGCATTCAGAATAATTTACTAAGTATTTTTTGTGATTGTAGCATCTCTTCCCTCTCTCCACACATTGTATAAATGCAAGTAAACTGTAATTCATTCAATAAAAACCGACAGTTGCAAAATTTCTATTTTTTAATAATTTTTATGCTCATGGTATAAAAATTTAAGAGTACCAAAGGGTTATATATATGCTGGAAAGTAAGTTTTCTTCCTTTCCTCATCCCCAGTTGTTCCCTACAGAGATAACCACTTACATGTTCTTAAAAATGGAAATCGGTGTTTAATCATGGTTTGATGCTCTGAGGTATTTGCCCTATCACTTCTTGGCCTTTTCACTAAGATCTTCACTAAGATCAAGTGCCTCTGACTGTGCACTATAATTTTTGGTTATAAGTTAGAGGAATCAGGAGCAAGTTACTAGGTGTACGCTTGGACATATGAGCAGAAATGACTAATGTAACTTTTATGATATACTCGGTTTAACTAGCTTTCGGAGCCGTTGTTCCCATGGCTTTTGAGTGTCTTGCTTTCCACATCTGTGTTTTTTCATTTTCCAGTTGCAGCATGAGAAAGCTGAGCTAGAACAGCACCTCGAGCAGGAACAGGAATTCCAGGTCAACAAGCTGATGAAGAAAATTAAGAAACTGGAGAACGATACCATTTCTAAGCAGCTTACGTTAGAACAGGTAAAAATGTATAGTTCTCTCTGTACCCTTTTTAGGATCGCTATAGTTATATATATATATGTATTTCTCATATCATCAACTGTTCTTTCAAGCTTTAAGAGGTCCTGAGGAATGCCAGTGAAAAATGTTTTTCAACTTTTTCTTCCCACAGTGGCGGCTTCCTCTCTGAAGTACACATTGGCAGATCTGCATAGCACCTGCTCACTCTTTCACACACTTGTGCTTTTCTTAACCACAATTAATAAAGTTTCAGGAGATACGTTGTGATGTACTGATTTATAGGCAGGAAATGTTAGGTTCCTTTTGCAAAAGGGGGAAGAATATGTTTTTAACCACAGGATCGTTTCTGTGAAATTTCCTGAGACAGTGTGGCTATGGAACTAAAACTTTTCTTTCAAGCGTTCTTCAGAACAATTAGCATTTTCTGTCTTTGAAGTATTAGCAACCTTATATGAACCCTGTCTTTTCCCACCTAGATTTGTTGATACGGGCATGGAGCCCTAGACTTAGTTGCACGTCCTGGTTCAGCCACTGATGAGTTTTGTGACCTTCCATTAACTTCAGTAACTTCTCTGGGCCTAGGTTTTCCATTTGCAAACAGAGAAGCACAAACTAAAGTCAGGTGTGGCAAGCTTAAAAAGGTACAGAAGGCAGAAGGTGATAGCACACAGTTTCTTTGGCCATTGCCCTTGGTAGACGTTGGTATTTGAGCACAGGTCTTGCCTTAGGAGGCCAGGCTGGTCCTTATTTGCCAACTCACAGAATCATGGGCCACCATTATCAGTCCTTCCAAGTTAGGGTGTCAGACAGAAGCTCCTAGCGCTTTTCCCCACGCTCTTTTCCCAAAGTTAGAAGAGGCTGACCGTAGTCTACTGCCACCTGGTTTCCATGTCAAATTCAGTGTATTCACATTTTCTTGTTCTTTGCGATGTGGATCCCACTTACCACTTTGATGATTTGGCCAAGCTCTTCATGCAGAGTTGTCTGATTTATCCCACTTTTAGGATCTTTCTGTGCGTCTTACTCCATGCTGACTGGTTCTTGAATCACCCTCGGGACCATTCTCATTTCATCATTGTACTTGAGACTGAAACCGTGACGGGAATGTCAGGCTTGAGAGGAAGCCAGGGTTTGTTTTAAACTAATTGGACTGACTTTTGGTTTTTGTGTTTTTCTTGTATCTACCTATATCAAAGGGTGGAACGTCACTGGGTTTTCTAAGACTATGAATAATGGCCTTGGAAATTTTTCCATTCCTTCTAGGTTAAAGAACAAAAAAGCTTCATTTCCAAGGGTTGGCTGTTTTGCACATATCCAGAGTAATCGATTCTTACCCGTCCTCTTTGGAATTCAGATGCAATTTCTAGAATTAGAAAACTCCCCCCCTCCCCGCCCCCCCCGACCCTGCCTCCAGCTTAAAGCATTTTGTTCCAAAGTTCACCTGTTTAATTTTCAGGGTAGGCAATAGCCAGTTCTTTCCAATTAAAGTTTTGAAGATTCTTGTTTAAGTCCCTGATATACCAAGAACTCGTTACTGGTACCTGTTAATCAAGAGTTAACCAAGTGGCCAGGTGAAATTTTCACAGTGGTTGGTATTGTGAGAACTTCACTTGGTCAACACCTTCCCTGTGATGGCTGTCAATAACGGAAGTAGCTTCTATCTTGTATTTGTTTACAGGCTCCTTGAGGAGACTTTGGAGCTCTGACCCCCACAGTTTAGTTGTGGCCACAAGGTGGAGGTAGTGGCCTAGAGTCAGAAAGAGAAGGGTTGACTGATCCTACCGTCCCTGGGAGAGAGGATGGATGCCTGCACGGTCTTAAGGCTCTTTAGAAACTTTAGTGACTAAATGCTTTTAAAATGAGGCCCAAAGGCATACATTCTCCCAAAGTTAATGATTTAGTCCACTGTAAGGCTTCTTTCAGACCTCAGCACCAAAGAAATGGATTTCCACAATGGAATGTGTGCATTGCAAAGCCCTAAACTAGAAATTATCCTCAGATCTGGGATATCAAGTCCTTATTTTATTTTATTTTTTTAATTTTAATTTTAAAAAATTTTTATTGGAGTATAGTTGATTTACAATGTTGTGTTAGTTGCAGGTGTACAGCGAAGTGAATCAGTTACACATGTACATATATCCACTCTTTTTTTGGATTCTTTTCCCATATAGACCATTACAAGTCCTCATTTTAATTAAGATGGAGAAAAGTAACACCATACTAAAACTTTCCCCCCTTTCTTTTGGGTATATCTAGGATGATTATATGTTGGGGAATTTATTTAACTACAAGTAATTTTAGTCGGTGTTTAGGGGGGAATGTTTGTTTTTTTCTACTGTAGAAATAAATGTCTTCCATGTTTCCATGGATGTGATCTGATCCTCTCTTGTGGCCATCACTTGGGATTATCATCTGTACTATAATATTTACGATATGTCGTAGTCTGTATAATATAATATATCCTATACTGCAATTACTATCAGAAGAGCCAAGGCATGTGCTGTACGATGCATTACAACAATATATGTGTGTGGTACATGCCTTTGCTTTTCTATCTGACAATAAACATATTTTTAAAACTAAAAGCTATTTGAAGGCAATTATCCTATGTGTCCCGTGCCTTGCTGCTGCTTTGTTGGAAGAGTTTAAATAAAGTGTGGATTTAGACAGGTGCCTGAAGAGCTGTCATTTGTACTTTGAAAGGCGGTGTAAGGTAGGTTCAGGGTCTGGGTATTGGACTTGAATGGAACCAGATGTGAACCTCTTTCCTCTGCTAAATATCTTAATTTATTTATTTTTTTGGTAGCAGCTTTATTGAGTTATAATTCACGTACCATTACAAATCATCCATTTAAAGCGTACAATGCAATGGTTTTTAGTATATTTCGTGTTGTGTGACCATAACCAAAATCAATTTTAGAACATTTTCATCACCTCAAAAGAAACCTTGTCACTCAATCCCCTAATCCCGTTAAGCAACCACTACTCTACTTTCTGTCTCTGTGTATTTGCTTATTCTGGACACATCCTATAAACGGAATCATATAGTGTGTGGTCTTGTGTGACTGCCTTCTTTCACTTAGCATGATATTTTTATCCACGGTGTAGCATATATCAGTACTTCATTCCTTTTCCTGGCTAAGTAATAATCCATTATATGGATGTACCACATTTTGTTTATCCATTCATCCTTTGCTGGACATTTAGGTTGTTTCAGCCTTTTGGTTATTATGAGTAATGCTGCTGTGAACATGCATGTACGATTTTTTGCGTGGACATGTGTTTGAATTTTTCTTGGAAATTAGAATGGAATTGCAGGGTCACATGCGGACTCTCTGTTTATCTTTTGGAGGAAATGCCAGACAGTTTATTGCAGCCATCCCGGTGGATGTGAAGCAGCATCACATTGTGGTTTTGTATTTCCCTGAGGCGAATGATGTCGAGTATATTTTCAGGTGCTTCTTGGCCATTTGTATATCTTCTTTGGAGAAGTGTCTATTCAAGGTCTTTTTATTATGGAATTCTAAGAGTTCCTTATATATTCTTATACATATAGTACATGTATTTTATAAGATACAAGTCCCTTATGAGATACATCATTGCAAATATTTTCTCATTTTCTGTGGGTGTTCTGTGCACTTTCTTGAGCGTGTCCTTTGAAGCATAGAGCTTTTTAAATTCTGGTGAAGTCCAATTATTAATTTTTTTCTTTGGTTGCTGTGTTTTGGTATCATATCTTAGAATGCAAAGTCACGAAGATTTACCCCTGTTGTCTTTTTTGGGTGCTTACATTTAGGTCTTTGATTCCTTTTGAGTTAATTTTTATATGTGGTGTAAAATAGGGTCCAAATTCATTCTTTTGCATCTAGTTGTCTCAACCAGTCCATTTCTGAGCCTCAGTTTCCTTATCTGTAAAATGGCAATAATAGCAAACCTGTGTCAGGTACAGTGAATGAGAGTGTAAGGTGATTTGCATAATGCCTGCTACATAAGCACTCAACATAAGGTAGCTGCTGCTGTTAATTTTTAAATAAGCATATATATATATGTGTGTGTAACTGAATCACTTTGCTGTACACTTGAAACAAACACATCTTTAATTAACTATACTTCAATTCAAAATAAAAAGAAACTAAAAAAAAAATCATCCATATTTTGAACCTAATGGGTTGAACCTGCAGAAGGGGTATTGGAAGGTCTCTGCCAGGGATTCGTGTTGGCCATACATGTTTGTTTTGAAGGTGTAGCTTAGGTTGTAACGGTTTTTAAGAGGGCACCTGGGGACTTCCCTGGTGGCGCAGTGGTTAAGAATCCACCTGCCAAGGCAGGGGACACGGGTTCGAGCCCTGATCTGGGAAGATCCCACGTGCCGCGGAGCAACTAAGCCCCTGAGCCACAACTACTGAGCCCGTGTGCCACAACTACTGAAGCCTGCGTGCCTAGAGCCCGCGCTCCGTGACAAGAGAAGCCACCACAATGAGAAGCCCGCACACTGCTATGAAGAGTAGCCCCTGCTCGCTGCAACTAGAGAAAGCCCGCACACAGCAACGAAGACCCAACGCAGCCAAAAATAAATGAATTAATTAATTAATTAAAAAAGAAAAGAAAGAAAGAAAAAGAAGGCACCTGCCTATTCTCTGTAAAGCAGAACTTATCTGGGTTTGGGACTAAGTCTTAGACTCCTTGCAAGGTGGGCGCCAATTAACTCACGTGCTGGAGGCCTAATTTTAAGTTAATCTCACCAAAAGTCAGGCCTTCGGCATGGACCCTCGAATTAGTCAGATAGCATTTGTTCTTCTCTTAGAATCTGAGATCTTTTCATTCTTTAAGAAGAGAATGTTACCAGCTCGATCATCAAGGGCTCTGGGCTGTCAATGGTTCTGTCGGTGTTTTGCAGGATGAGAATTCATAGAATTGTAGAGCTGGAAGGCCACATTGCGGGGGAAGGCTACTCTGTCATTACTTTGTCCCCAGCCCCTCGTGGGGATGTGAGAAAGTGG